TGATAGTGTTGAGACTTTAACCCCTACACCACCAGGGAGGCCCAAAATATTTTAAACCGTATGAAAATTCTTGTTTGGCACATAAACATTGGGTCTCTTAGGTTTTGCCTGAGACTATAAGGGAGAAATGAATAAATGCTCTCTAAAGAAAAATGGGAATTTTAAAGTAGTTTTTTTTTTTCCCTTTTGCTGGGAAAGGAAGTAAAGAAACTTAACTGAGATGAAGACACCAAGGCTACAGTAGTGTACGTTTTTCACAGTACTACCAAGTTTATGAAGGCAAAATGCATACTGATTTGGCTTACTCTTATATAACCAGAATCAAAGGGTGTGGTTCTTTTTATACCATTCCAAAACAATTAAGTTGATTTCAACCATATGTATCATGAAAAGACTTTTACTAATCATTTTTAAATTTATGTTAATAATCAAGGGCAATGAAGTTGGTGTTTGCAAGTATTTAAGAATTAGGGGAAAAAAAAACACTTCATAACAAACTATACTGTGTTCTGAATATTAATGTACAATAAGTAAAGAACTTTGACCCACAGAAGAAAGACAACTGAAAGGATTTACTGCATTAGATGACTTCATTACAAGATGTAATACTGTGGAAATCTGGCATTTTCACAATTTACTTTGTCAGGGCAGAGTACCACATTCTCTGCGATGCTGGCTTCTGTCCCTTTGCCACTGTAGTAAAAAAAATACTCTACTGTTCTGGGTTATGATTTCCCTGTCAATATAATGCAAATCCTAAAGACCATCTGTTTTCATTTTGTAAAGTGTGTTATAGCAGCCTTGCAAGTAATTTTCAAAAATTGACTTGCTCAGTCTTTTCTCTACCTGCCCTCACCTCAGGAGACATACACTTGAATAGTAAATTCATAGTCTTTATTACTCCCATGGCCCACATGGCTACTTATAGTAGGTAAGTGAATAAGGGAATTTTTGCAAAAACTAGTGTGGAGACTATGAAGAAGAGTAAAATTTACTGCTAGAATTCAGTCTATTTAAAAAAAAATTGTTAGTGGGGAATTTATTTTTTAATGTATTTTTATATAGCCCAATTAGCTAGCTAATTTATGTTTAAAAAAATCTCCAGGAATACCTTTTCTTGTCTTAATTGGCAGTTTTATTGGCACAGCGTTGACAACAGCCCTCATTAATACAACATTCATTGCACTTAAAGAAACCTAAGATGGTGTGTTGCTGGGTGTAAAAATATCTCAAACAACTCTGCACCTTCTTCCCAACCTTTGCAATCAGTAAAATCAAAAAGCTGAGAGAAATTAATAAGGTGACAGAAACCAATAATGTTCAAGAAGAAACTCTGACAGTAAAAACTTCAATTCTTAATTAGGTTCTCTCTTCCATTTTAAACACACACATGTGCAGTCCCACATATATCTTAATATCAGCATATTCAATAATATTCACTTGCCCTACCTTACTGATCCCAGAAGAGGCAAAAGGTCTAGGAAACTATTCAGTTAATAGGGAATCAAGAATTCTTTTTAGTTAAAGGTATTTGTAATCAACCTCCCAAGTGGGTAATAAAATATATGACTGAGTGTGGAGTAGGAAAAAGGAAAAGTATCACAAATCCATTTATTTCTCAAAAATCAAAACATAATATTGAGAAATCTGTTACTCACTCACCTGCCAAGTTCTAAGATTAGAAATCTTTGTTTTCACTGCAACAGTTGATGCTACTGAAAACTGCTAAGTCATTTGAGGAACGTACTCCCTGTTCTATTTGAGATATTACTTCTTCAATAACTTTTTAATTAAAAAGCTTTAAAAATCATCTTAAAGTTAAGTCATAAGGGCTATGCTTTCAGATTTTTGTTCCCATCTCCTGCATATGTGTGTGTCTTTAAGTCTCAAGATCTATATTGTCCTGCAAGCTGAAGGACAGCTACAATGTCTTAGTTCTTTAATTATATCATGGATTTCTACCACTGTATTAACTTCTAAATTTCATAAGGTTAGACTGTGTATTGACTTCCCTTCGTACTATCAGCTCTCAGTCTTGTTCATAGTTATAAAAGTTAAATCAACCTCCTCCTGTAGTTCCACTTGAATGTGACTTGACCAACTATCAGTTCGCTCGCCACAACCAATTTGCACCATGTCGTTAAGATGTTCTTTCTTGATAATCTTCTTTATGCATAAAATTACCTTGATATATTTATTTCTTTGTTTGGGATAGAGAGAAATCAAACCATTAATAGTATTATAGGCTGAGGTGCTAAAAGGCCAGAGTCTGCTGAAAAGCATTCTCCCTCCTACATGGTATAGTATATGAAACTGTCACCGTTAGGGTCATTCCACTTGGATAAGCTGAAGTGTCCAGGACAATGATATCTGAAAATGTTACAAGGGAAATCATCCAACAACATAATAAATCTTATGTGCTTGGACTAATTCAAAACCTATCTAAACAAAATAAAGCCTTATACTCCTTGCCAGTGGATTTGAGATCATTTTAACATTCCATTTAGTCTTCAAGATCAACTTTCTATTAATTAAGGTGTGCTCTTTAAAACTCCAGAAAAGAAACTAGAGGGAAAAAAGGAGAATCTTCTTTTTCTCCATACAACATCATATATTGCTAAGTTTTAGAGAACATTCCAAACATGAGGGAATGCGTGTAAAAGATCTTAAATGACAGAGCTGTTTTTGTTCACCTTCCCTCCCTTGCTACAAAGAAAAACAAGAACATGGGTGACCTATAAGAACAAGGGAAACAGATTTCCCTCTGTAAGCCTATAAGGGGCCATTGAAAACAGAGTATGAAAAGAAGTTTTAAAAGTTATGAGGAACACATTCAGGGAAGACTTAAATGAAAACAAGCAATTCATGAGTTGGCTAACAACAGATATGGTGTGACTAGGTCTGCTGTCTATCTCGTGCCTCCTTGGAGAGAATGTAAATTGGTGTAGTCATTATGGAAAGTAGTGTGGAGGTTCTGCTAAAGTCAGAAATTACACACTGGTGGGCCTCCCTGGTGGCACAGCAGGTTGGACGCAGCCTCTGCAGCACTGGTTCGATTCCCGGCCAGCCAAGGAGCTACCCACATGGCACGGCAGACTCTCCTGACTTGCCCACTGCTCCCCTCAGCAGTGCTTTCAGTCCGTCTGCCTGTTCTTCTCCCCACTCTGTCTCTCGTGAATTCTCTCACCCTTCTGCACCTCTGGCTTGTACCCCAGCTCTTGTATGCATAAATAAATAAATCTTTAATAAAAAAAAGAAATTACACACTGGTGGCCTTGAGGTTGAGTCCCAGCACTATCACTGCTATGAACTGAGTTCGATCCCTGGCCAGGGAGCTAACCCACACATGGCACAGCAGACCTATCCTTCCTGAAAAATGGGGAAAAATAGAAATTACAAAGACCCTATCTCATAATTTGTTTTTTGGGGGGCTTTGTTGTTGCTATTAGCCTATATAGTATGTATAAATATTTAAAGCTGTGGCTGGCCCAAAACAGACACACAATAAATATTTGCCTTGCTCTTAATAGTATATAGATTTTTGCCTACAATGCTGGAATTGCCTACAATACCAGAATTAGTGTTTCATTTTCATGCCTTAATAAAGAAGGGTTTTGTATGATTGCTACAATAGTATCCCCCCAGATATCTGGTAGGTCCTAATATCTCAAACCTGTGAACATTACTTTTTATGACAAAAAGATCTCTGCAGATGTGATTAAGTCTCTTGCAATGGTGAGATTTTCCTAAATTACTCAGACTTTAGATGTAATTACAAGTGTCTTTATAAGAAGAAGATAGAGGAAGATTTGCAAACAGAAGGCCATGTGAAGACGAAAGGAAGATGGTCCTTTCCTCACAACTGAAGATGAAGGAAGGAGCTACCAGCCAAAGAACACAAGGATTGCAGCTCTTGAAGCTGAGAAAACTAAGGAAACAGATTCCTCTTTAAAGCCTCTGGAGAGAGATGGGCCTCCCCTGGTGGCTCAGTGGTTGAGCTCTGGGCTGCGAAGCTGCCCGCAGCCTCTGCCGCATCAGTTTGATCCCTGACCACCAGCGATGGTACCACATGGTGTGCAGACCTCTCCTGTTTCACCCGCTGCTCTCCTCAGCAGTGTATTTCATTCAGTCTGCCTGTTCTGTTCCCCGCTCTGGCTCTGGTGAATTCTCTTACCCTCCCGTGCTTCTGACTGTACCCAGTGCTTGTATAAATAAATAAATCTTATATATAAAAAAAAAAGCCTCTGGAGGGAGCATGGTCCTGTTGACACTTTGATTTTCGTTCAGCAAAACTGATTTTGTACATCTGTCCTCTAGAACTCAAAAAGAATACATTTGTGTTGATGTAAGCCACTAAGTTTGAGGTTAATAGGAAATTAGTATAATGCCTACCATCTTTTCCTTACTTTATTATTGAGCATGTACTGTGCAATGAAATAGGTATGGGAGAGTATGATTATCTGTTTTACACAGTCAGACTGTGGATCTATTTGCTAGTATTTTTTAAACTGATAGAGTTTTTCCACCTCCCCACACACTGTATATCCACAATTGTTTGATTTTAACTGTATAGACAGAGCTAAGGGCATTTAAGCAGAGATCCTTTTAGTTTTCTTTCTATTCTTAATTTACCACCTCAAACATTCACTCTTTGATTTACTTACCTTAGGTATGATGGTATTTCTTAGGTGACCATATTGAATATAGAGATAAAGACCTGCCAAGATAAAGACCTGCCAAGAAGTAGAGGTGTCGGGTAGCAAACACTTGGTGTTGTAGAAAAGTACTGACATTTGAGCCAGGCAAATCCAGGTTTGATTCCTGGGTATATTATGAGCTTTGAGATTTTTAATCATCTTTGGGCTGGTTTCCTCCATGTAGAATTGAATTTATAAAAAGCCCCATAGTTGCTAAAAATTGTCTTATATTTAAAAATAGATAGTAAAGCTCTGAATTTCACATTACTTTCAGTAGTAAGAATTTCAATCCTTACTCCATAGGTTTCTTTATCAAATGCTTCTGAGAATTTAAGTCTCCACTTGCTGCTTGAAAAGGGAACAGCACATGATTCCTCCATGCTGGACTTCAAAATTATCGGCCTCTCCCTTAAAAGACTTCGGCAATTACTGGTACGAGAAGCCGAGGGCTACCTCTTTTGCCTGCTTCATATCTGAGGGATACTGATTTTGTATGGTGCTTCTTTTTGATATGCCTGGATAGTAGAGTTGACCAAAATAAATATTGTATTTTGTTAGGCCTTTCTGATGCCCACCTTGCAGATCTACACTAAATCTCCACAGAAAGATGGCAAGAATGGGTCATTGAGATGAATGGGCAGGCAGAGAGTGAAAGATGTACCTCCTTCTGTTATGTCTAGTCAGTGCATGTTCCTTAGGAGAGAGCTCGACTAAAAAACAGCATCATGGAGACTTTATGGATGAACTCTTTTGAGTCTTTCACACAAGATTTCTTTTCCCCGAGTGTAATGCCTTAAGGTAAATCCAGAAGGATAGTGGCAAGAAGATTTTAGATAACCCCATAGTTGCATATTCATCAAGCAATAGTAGGGAGATGTCAGCTCTATATTAGGAGTGCTTCTTTACATCTTATGGATGATATCAAGGATGAACTGTGATCTTCTAGGAACTGTTAATATTTTACAGTGTCACTAAGACACAACATTTGGCCCAAATTAGAAATTTAATCTCAGTCCTTCTCTGCATAGAGTGGACTTAGCCACATTTGTAAATGTTTTCCTTTGAACTACCATATTACAGATACTTTAGAATTTACGTGGTCCTTATAGGCGTGAATACTACAAATTAGTAAACTGTCTTAGAAAACATTTGGTGACCGGGAAAAAAATGGTGTATCCCTCACAAAATTTTCATGACTTTCTCCATTGAATCAAACATCTTGCTTTGGACCAGCCAGATCATTCATTTGGTGATAATATCTCATTTTCCAGCTGCACTTATTAAACTACAGGGCATTAGATTTTATTTCCGTCAGGGAATAATCTCTGTTGCCTACTAATTGATCAGATAGAAACAGTGCCCCTAAAATTTAAGTACTGCTTAACTTTTATGGATGACTCTCTTCCCCTCATTACAATGACTATATGCTGAGTTCCCAAAATGTAATATATAATACAGACAAAGAGGCTTTTGTGGACCTATGAATCCCAGATTAAGAATTTAAGAGACGAGAACTTTCAAATATGAAGGAAAATTTTCAGACTACATCTGTGTGACAAAGCAGATTTAGGGGCTAGGCAGGATTTTTGTTCTGCCATGAGATTGCATTATTCACAGTGAGTTGGATTGTGTGTCTTTGGTATGCCTGGATAGTAGGCAAAATGAATATTCTATAAATAAATATTCTATTTTATTCAGTCTTAGAAAAAGATTTTTAAAAATTCCTACTTACATAGTATATTAGTGTGGTAGGGCTGCCATAAGAAAATAACCATAGACCAGGTGGCTTAAAGAACAGAAAATTTATTTTCTTACAGCTCTGGGAACTGAAAATCTATAGTCAAGGGGCCAGGAGCGTTGGTTTCCTCCAAGGCCTCTATTTTTGGTTTGCAAATGTTTTCTCTCTGTGAGTGTGCACCTCTGTTGTCTCTTCATGGGTCCAAATCTCTCTCCTTAGAAGGATAAGGGCAGCTTGGGATAGCACCCACTCAAGACCTCACTTAGCCTTGGTGACTTCTTTAAAGTTCCTGTGTCCAAGTATGGTTACATTCGCAGGTACTAAGGAGCTGAGCTTTGATATATGAAGTGAGGTAGCAGACACAAGTCAGGTCATAACACATACTACATGGATTTAATGCCTTTATTTCCCTCTAAAAGTATTATTTCACATGTCCAAATTGTCACAGTTGAATTAGTACTAAGGATCATTCCATGGTATAGAAATTGTACCTCATTTTCTTAGGCTAACCTGATGTCAGTAAAGCTGGTGATGACTAATTTGTGGTCCAAAGCAAACAATCATAGACAAAAGACTTTATAAAGTAAGAAATAGTGATAACTGGAGTTTGAAGAGCTTTTATTGATTTTAAAAGTGTAAGTACGTAATATATGGTTTTAAAAATATTTGTATTGGCTTCATTGTCATGCTTGTTTTTTTTTTAATAACTTATATATAGGTTGTTTTTGGCAACCTATGTACAAGGTTGTTAGGACTGCACTAATGATATTTAAATCCTCACTGTGTTACTGATTTTGCTATATTCCAAACATACCAATAATATATTTGCAAATCTGTCAGCTCCGGATAGAAATTGCAAGGAAAAAAGAATTGGTGGATTTTGTTACAACAGACTAAAAGATCAAACGGATATTTGCTTAAAAATAGTACATGTATTGTTAACTTTCACTGTTAAACTAACCTTCTCAAATAAAACATCTTCTAGTGGTATGCATACAGACATTCAAAAGGTAAATACATGGAAGGAAAAATTAAACAGCTGAAGTATGGACACAAATCCAAAACAAATAAAATTAAAATTGGATATTAAAATGGTAAAAACTTAGGCAATAAATCTTAGAATATCAAGGTTATCAGGGGGTCAACTTCCACATTTGTGCAAAAGGTATCAACGAGAGACCAATCTAGTTCTTTCCCCTCACCAAAAAATCTTTTTTTTAACAAAGAGGTCATCGGTATTTTGTGAGAATTAGATCTTGGCCCCCTCCTCCATTTTCGAATGTGCAACCAGTTTGGAGCAATATTATAGGCATTTAAATTCAGAAAATATTCAAAATATTAACAAAATTTTAACCAAATTTTAACCCTGTGGCACTGTGCATCGGATGAACAACAGAAATAATTGCTGTCAGTTTGTGCTTTTTTGACCAATAATTCTCTGTATTTCCTGCGAGTAACTTGAGTGATGCAAATGACCTTATTTTTACAGCATGCTTTTATTAAATAGTTTATTATTTTGGCAGACTAATAAAGATTTTGGTATTTGCTTTTATTTGCAATAATATTACCACCACATAAAAAAGGATTTTATGTTCTTTTTGAGGAACAAGGAGGATAAAAGTGGTGATGGATAGCGCAACTGAGGCATCAGCAATGAGCTGGAAATGAGACACATAAATATGAAAGCAGAGCTAAGAAAATAGAACTGCACCCTTGGCCTTTCTTAAAAGAACATGCACACTTCATGGTTCATTCACACTGTTACAGAAACTCCTTTTGTTTCCAATGAATCAGGGAGAATGCAAGTAAAGCCTGAAATACTATTCTTACTCATAGCTGACTGACTCCTATTTAATTAGACTCATTCCAGGAAAATATTTTCAAGCTTTCTAAGGGTGTTTTGATTTGAGGAAAAAAATAATCAATTGACTGAAAAGTTCGTGGATGGGAGGCTGTAGGGGAATCAAAACAGATTTACTATTTTCACCATTATTTAACACACAACACAGAAATGAAAGCTTTCCACGTTGTAGCATCTTTAGAGTCGATTGAGCAATTGTGTAGTATAAGGGTATTTGAGGTAGATTGCTAGGCAATTGAGTATGTCTTTAAGGACAATGATAACATATAGAGCATATATAAACATTGGTCACAGTAGGTGGAGGGTTGGAGGATTACGTTTTATCTCGCCATAATGGTCCATATTTATTCAAAATTTATAATTCTTTCCATACTGTGTGTTTTCTGATTTAATGTCAGCATGCAAATTCTACACGTCAAATATTACATATTTATTACCAGCAGAGTACATTTAGCATTAATTTTATCTACTTCCAGTAATCACTTCTTTCCTCATAGCAGCCTTTAATTGTTAATATGAATGAAAGCAGATTGTGATGAAGAAACCAAAGGGAAGGTAAATCTCTTATGCGGGGCCAGAACCTGAATTGGCACGCAGCAGCTCTTAGCTCAGTAATATTCAAATGTGGAACTATTTTTCTTTGCACATGAAAGTGCAGCCAATAGATGAAAGTAGGAAGAAGTAATATGTTGTGAGCTGAGAAATCCACTACTTCATTATCGACATGATTCAGATCTTACAGAGGGAGAGAGCTCTACCATTTGGACTCTCGTCGCAAAGACTTACAATAGACATGATTCTGACAAGAGGTTGGTGGTAGCAGAACAGACTTAACAATTAATGGTATGCCAAGGCTGAGTTCAGAGAATTGCTTTACCCAATGCCAATCATTCATTCCTGGCAGTAGCACTTCACATCTTTCCTGGGATGCCATCCAACCACAGTGGCATCTAAAATATATCGAGCAGTGTTGTTACAGTTGGAGGTGAAATTGAAATTTGCGCCAAACAGAAGTGACAAATTCACATGGCTGAGTGTTGCCTAGCAATCAGGTCCAAGGGGGACGTGGCAATTCTGCCTTTACCCAGGAGGGTGGGTAAAGGGGGAGAGAAACGTATGCATTAGAGCTTGGGTGGTCTCACAAGGAGAGTCAGGTGTGTGAGAGACTTCATTTCGCTTCCAGGGTGTAAGGAAGAAAGACAGTAGGGTGGTGTAAGGAGAGGAGGGCGGCAGCTGAAGTTGGTAGGATAAGCAGCTTTTAAGACGGAGGGTCTCAGCCACTAACCTGGGGGAGGGGAGAGAAGAAAGATGCCAAGATGCCAGACTTGCTGCAGAAATTGATGGCAATTGGCCATCCTGCTGCCTTTTGACTGCAGGCCTCTGATGCACCTCTGTTCAGCTGACACTTGGCAGCTGGGTGGCCCCAGGGTAAAGTGAGCAAATGGTGGCTTTCTCGTCCCAGAAATCCACCTGGAAACAAAGCTCCCGATGGGCAACCAGACTCGAGATTTGTAGAAGGAATGGAATACTCAAGCTGAAATTCTGCTCTTGCGCCCTCCTTTGCTGTGTCTTTTTGGGGTTTCCCGTGCTGCCTATTTTGTATTGTTCTTCTCACCGTCTTGGGGAATACCTCCAAACTCCCCCGACCCTGTCCTCTGAAGTATGAAATGACTGTCAAATCAATGAGCAACACACAAAGCAGTAAGTGAACATGGATCAAAATATCAAGTCTGGGAAAAGAGACACAGTGCTTGCCCTGTAACATTTGTTCGGGTCACAGCCTGAGGAATTTTACACGAATAGTTTTGTTTCGGGGTTGTCTACCACTTCTTATTTGGAAGAAGTATAAACAGGGACATTCGTAGAGTGGTTTTAACTCTTTGGTGGAGGAGTTGCAATCCCTCTGGCGTGTCTTCACGTGTAATGCTTGGGAAGGTACTATAGCCTCCACACCACGCGTTCCTTCCTGCTTCGCTTACCTCTGTTGCTGTCGTCCTTTTCCTCTTGAACTGTTGGAACCTCATTAACCTGCTCAGCCTGGACGTCATGGCCCTGTATGAGGCCCCATGTAGGCTGAGATGGTGTACGTGGGTCACTCCCTGGTGATTTTCCCCATTCCACGTGCCTGGTCTGACTGAATCTCAGGAACTGATGAAGCATCCATCCTCCGCACTTCTAAGCTTCAATTGCATGTCTGTGCTGGTTAGCTGATTTTTATGTAACCTGTTGTTTTCTCAAGGAGTCTTTATGTTCCTAAGGGCAGGACTGTTCCGTTCTGCAACCATCCCAGGCCGGATAGGCTCACTGTCAGTTCAGGCAGCTTAAAAGAGAACCTTGGAGCCCTTGGCATCATCCCCACAGGTTTTTAAATAATACACAGGGGAAACAGGCCAGCAGGGAGACAGCACCCCCTGCAAATAAATCTCTATGCGCTTTTCCTCTGGGCTTTCTCTGGAGATGTCTTGCGGTCTCTCCCTCTCATTCTCTATCCTCTTGTAGCCATTCCCTGCCCGCAGCTGTTCAACCAAGTGACACTGTCCTGATAACCTCAGCCTCCAGGGTCAGGTGGGCCCACCTATGCATGCTCATGCCATACTCGATGCATCCACCATCAGGCATGCCTGCCCAGGGCCCACGCTCCCAAGCGCCTCCTGCATTCAAGGCCACATGTGATAGCCAGAGGCCAGCAGCATAAAAGCCTGATGAATTCACTTACCCTCCAACTTCTAATTAGGGTCAGATAAGATAAAGGCATGAAAATGCAAAGTGCCACACAACTGGATGGCATTTTGTTATTTATGTGTTAACATGTAATTTTCTTCCCAATGCATGTTCAGTAAATGTTATTAAATCAATGAATGAATTAGATAAATGGATGAATTTGATAATGACTGATGAATATGTGAAACTACCTATAAACTTAAGAGTTATATAGATCACAAAATTGGCTAATCATAAGAACTAAATCTATGATGTGCTCGTTTTTATCATCCTAAGTTCTTTACATAATCATTTAATTCTCACAATATGAAGTAGATGTGATTCTCATTTCAAATGAGATTATCATTTCAGTTGCATAGAAGTTAATCATTTTCTCTAGATTGTTACTAAGAACTGCTTTCTAACTGGACTTCAGAAGTGATCTCCACTAATAGTATTAATTAATTCCACAACTATAAGGACATGCAAAATTTGACTCTGTTCTGTATGAGTTCTGCAAACTGGACAAGCTGAAGCAGAGTGCAGTCAGTACACTCTTTGGTAATCAGAATAATGGTCTTCCCCAAATTACTACACCCCGGTCCCTAGAACCCCTGAACAAGTCAGATTATGTGGCAAAGGGGAATTAAGGTTCTAGGTGGAATAGTGCTTGTTCATCAGCTGACCTTGATCGGAGCAGATTGCTTGGATTATCCAGGTGTAGCCAATGTAATCACAAGGAAAGGGGAAGCAGAAACGCCAGTGTCAGAGGTGGAGTGCGAGAGACTTGACTAGCTGTGAAGGTGGAAGGAGTCTCTAGAAGCTGGAAAAGGTAAGAAAATGAATTCTTCCCTATACCCTGTTATTATCTTGATTTTAACCAAGGGAAACCCATTTCACACGTCTCACTTCCAAAATGTTAGTTTGTGTTGTTGAAGTCATTAAGTTCGTGGTAACTTCTTGTAGAAGAAGAAGGAAACTAATACAGCATTCAAATTCCATGATTATAACTTTCAAGTTCTTGCTAACCCAATAAGGGAGTTTAGTGACTTGACTACCAACGGGTGAAAGTTGGAAGTCTTGGCCTGTCTTAGAGTCATTACTAATTTTACCTTCATTTGAATTATGTGCAAGGAAAAGTCTCTTGACATACCATTCAGTGATTCCTGAACACTTCTTTCTAAAACAAGTGTTGTCTATTTTTATTCCATTTAAAACACATTAAGATATTTAAAATGATAAATAAAGTCAACAAAAATCATCCATAAAAGAGATACACCAAAGTCCGAGGGTCTGTATTTTAAACTTCCCTGCCTTGTGGCTTTATCCTCCTTAATCTGTTTGTTTTTTTTTCACCTAACCTTTGTTTAACTCTCAAGCAATAACTTCAAACCTGATACTTCTCTGACTATAGAACTATAAGAATTCATCCATTTTTAAAAGTTTCAATACTTAATATTTTCATTTCCCCTTTAATAATAATAATAGATGAAATCCACTAGCACTCACTGTGGGCCAGTATTGATAAATACTTTCATACACCATGGCATTTAATTCTCATAAATCTTTGGGAGGTAAGTAACTGTTATTGTTGCTGCTTTTCACGTAAGTAAAATATAGAGAGAGTTAAAACTTGCCCTAAGTCTTTTAGCTCAAAAGTGAACAGCTGGGCCAAATGCAGAGACCGGTTCAACTTTAGGTGAGTGATCTTTCTCTTACATTTTTCTGCCTTGTTAATTTTCACCTTGGGAGCAACTGCTGGAGCCCCTGATAGGCAGGAAGTACCTGATATGCACAGTGCTTAAAATATGGAAGGATACGTGTTTCATTTTTTTAAGATTTATTTATTTATGCATATGTAGGTGCAGAAATGACACGGAGCAGGTTTTCTGATCCAGCAGACGGACTGGGTAATGGAGAAGAGAGTCCTGGAGCCCTCAGTGGCTTTTCGGGT